TTTTGATTTGAAGAGTCGCCACCTAATGATTAAGTACATTAGGACACTAGGAAGAATTTGTTTAGAAAAACCAGAGTTTGGGTAAGAGCTAGAAATTATCTCGAGGGGAAGGTGTTAGACACCCCTCAAGATCCACTAGTGTGGTTCCCGGTCATGCTACAATTGTGACTTAAGTACAAACAATAAATAAGCAATTAAGGGTTTCAAATATGAGGGGTTGTCACATTGTGATTGCAAATAAGTTAAATTTTGAAGAAACAAGGAAGTTGAAATTTGAGAAAAAGGAGTTTGAAAATTTGAAAGTAATAAAATAAACAAGTAAAAGGAAGGGGGTCCTAGGTTTATAAATAATATGGATCACATCAATGTAATACCCGGTAATCACTCCTCAGAAGAGGGGTTACATGTGGTATTAGCGCACTGGTCATCATATCCATATCTACAATTTCCCACCCCGTTGAGGTATTTGAACGTGGAATGGTTTCATTACTTATTGCATGATAGTACCCGCCCCAATCCTATCAGTCCCAGAGGTATTTGGGACTACTAGTCCTAAAGGGAAGGGAAATGTGGGTTTTGTGTGGTTTAAAAAGATAAAATTCTAAAGCGACAAACAAAAACACATAAGGCAGATTATGGGAAACACATAACAATTTAAAAGGCTCAGATGAGCCTCCTCACTTAAAGACAGATTGTTTAGCATGTCTTGCAGATACTGGTTATGGTCTGAATTAAACTTAAACGTTAAGAAGGCAGACTGGTCTATTACACATTTCAGATAAGAAATTGGAATTAGACCTGCCTGCTGGTTGGAATTAATAGAGTCTGATTCAATTAGCTAATTTACCTTATAGCTTGACTAAGTGAAACCTACAAGCATGACATCTAATAATGCAGAAGTGTACTGATTTTTTACAAGAAGAAGGCCTGTTGATTATAGAAAATATAAGTTCTGCAAACATTGAGTAACGTTACTACTGATTTTAGACTTGTAAACGATTCAGATCAGTTGGTTACTCTTATAGACATGCTTTCTAAGCGTTATTGAGTTTAACCTTTATGAAAATGCAGAAATCCTATAGGCATGGTGTTTAAAATGCTGATTTTTATTATTTAAGCCTATAAATGTGTTTGCCTAGTGATAGATGCATATGCAAAATTCAAGAAACTCTATAGACATGTTCTCTATGTGATAGGTAGAAGCGCAGAAACCTATAGACATGGTCTCTATGTATGAAATGCAGAAGCTATAGATATGGTATCTATGTATGAAATGTAGAGGCTATAGACATGATATCTACGTATGAAATGCTTAACCTATAGACAGGATTTCTATATGAAAAACGCAGAAGTGCAGGACTTGTAAACATGATTTCTATATGAAAAATGCAGAAGTGAAAACAGGACATGATTGCAGCAG